TAAACGTATATAAAACACCAAACCCTAAACCCTAAACCCTAAACCCTAATTACTGGTACAGAGCTTTTATACACACGCACATAGTGTCTGATTAGGGTTTAGGGTTTAGGGTTTACCTCAATCTTCTTGTATAGAGGAAGAGATTCGTCAACGTCCTTAGGTAGGTACGTATAGCGATATCTGCACATAAAATTAGGGTTTAGGGTTTAGGGTTTACAGACCAAGCAACGAATGTGTCGTTAGCCAACACCCAATCCTTTATGCCAAAACCCTAAACCCTAAACCCTAAACCCTAAACCATCAAATCTAGCAGACTGAGGGTTTAGAACGGGGGTTTATCAAGAACAAGGGGTTAAAATTCGTGACTAGGGTTTCGAGTTTATAATTAGGGTTTAGGGTTTAGAATTAGGGTTTAGGGTTTAGGGTTTACCTTCGACCCCAGTGAGAAAAATCTGTAGAAATAACAAACACCGTGTCCTGCACACAAACCTCCAACCCTTAACTCCCTAGGGTTTAGGGTTAGCTAGCCAGCTACCCAGCTAGCTAGCTAGCTAGCTAGCTATTTAGCTAGCTAGCTAGCTTGTTAGGGTTTAGCTAGCCAAGAAAACACTCACGGGATCCATGAAGAAAGGAGCTAGCGACTCCGCTGCACCACAAACAACTCGTAAACCCTAAACCCTAAACCCTCAGCCCTGTAAGCTTGCATTTGTGCCTTGACAGCTAGGTAGTTGGCTAGATGGCTAGCTAGCTAGCTAGCTAGCTAGCTAGCCAGCTAGCTACTACAGTGGTTCGTACGCCAGGCTCGTTTTCCTAGAATTCGTGGTTTAGGGTTTAGGGTTTGTGGATTAGGGTTTAGGGTTTGTGAATTAGGGTTTAGGGTTTAGATTGGAGGGTTTATACTCACCATACATCGGCATATCCTCATCAGCAATTGTCCCAACATAAATAGGCAACAGGAGAGCACCTCTGCAGCACAAACCCTAAACCCTAAACCCTAAACCCTAATCACTGTATTTCCTCTGTATACGTGCTCTGTGCGTCCTGTAAACCCCAAATCCTTCTAAACCCTAAACCCTACTAAACCCTACCAAACCCTAAACCCTAGTAAACCCTAAACCCTAGTAAACCCTAAACCCTAAACCCTAAACCCTTACTCTGGCAAGACTCTCTTTAAGAAAGGAATCTGTACAGAGACGGAGTGCTCGCGAATCTCCCGCTCCGCGGGAGCGGTGTCATAAAGGCCCGTAGAGTATAGAGCGCTCAGGGCTGCACACAAACCCTAAACCCTAAACCCTAAACCCTAAACCCTAGAAGGTAAACCCTAGTGTTATAGATAATACATACAGATAAAGGAATTGATGCACACTACTATAGACCTTGAGATGCGCGGGTTGTGGCTGATGGTAGTTGGATAGCTAGGGTTTGTCTTCCTCTAGGGTTCAATTAGGGTTTAGGGTTTAGGGTTTAGGGTTTACCTTCTCTATCTAGAGGTAAAGAACCAATTGGACTACCCAAGGCGCTAAACTCCTCAGGAGGAAGAAGAAGAGAAGGAGCATCCGCATGCCAAGTAGACAGCAGTACAACTCGCTTCCTGTACACCCCAAACCCTAAACCCTAAACCCTAAACCCTAAACCCTAAACCCTAAACCCTCAGAAACCCTCGTAAACCCTAATAAACCCTAATATGTCATAATAAACCCTAATAAACCCTAAACCCTAAACCCTAGAAGTGAGGAGACGTACACTGTACGTTGAAGATAAAGCATCTGTTTATATGCTGCTGCTGCTGTTGGACCCGAATACTGAAATGCCGCATGCCTGCACACAAACCCTAAACCCTAAACCCTAAACCCTAAACCCTAGTAGTCATCGCTTCTGAGGTAGAAGCAATGAGACCCAGATGCAAGAAAGCAGCCCGTATGAAGGAGCAGCTGCAAATGAGGGTTTAGGGTTTACGAGGGTTTAGGGTTCATGAGGGTTTAGGGTTTATGAGGGTTTAGGGTTTAGGGTTTACGGGACAACGATAGCCTTGACTGTTCCTTGTACAGTTGGTGCTCCTTCTAACATTGAATCAACAGAAGCACGAAGCTCAGAAGCTGCAGACAAAACCCTAAACCCTAAACCCTAAACCCTAATGTGCATATTAGGGTCCCCGCGTCGCATATGCAGCACAGCCTACAAACTGAGTGTGTAGTAACCTAAAGCCAGGGTTTAGGGTTTAGGGTTTAGGGTTTAAATACCTGTGCCAGGAAACCACGTTCCTGCATGGACAGAAGGGCGGATAACCTCCTGCAGTCAGAGACGACACACCAAACCCTAAACCCTAAACCCTAAACCCTAAACCCTAGCGCGTCTCGCTTAAGGAGATCCACTTGCATGCATATAGATGCAGTATAAATTAGGGTTTAGGGTTTGCTAAGAAACTACAAAAGAAGGGTTTAGGGTATCCCCTCACCATAGCTTCTGTTGTACTGGGCACATTGTGCTGCAGCAGCAGCAGCAGCAGCAGCAGCAGCAGCGGCTGCAGCAGCAGGTGCTGCTGCTGCCTACGACCTGTGAAGTACGCCATCTGCAAGATAATGAAGGTAGGAAGACCCTAGGAAATGCAGCAGCAAGAGCAGCAGCAGCAGCAGCAGCAGCAGCGGCTGCAGCAGCAGCAGCAGAGTGTTGTGCTGCTACTACACCTGATTGTTGCTGCGGTGTACGTACACCGTAAGGTAGCCACAAAGGGCCTTATTATGTTATTCAGGTGTACATACACCGTAAAAAGGAATAAACAACAAAAGGGGGAAAAAGAAGAAAACAACAAAGAAGGAGGGAAGCGACGGGGCCAGGAACGGGAGGCGGCGAGACCCCCGAATCGGGCATATATATAAACCCTAAACGCTAAACACTAAACCCTAAACCCTAAACCCTAAACCCTAGAAAAACGATAAACCCTAAACCCTTAACCTTCAATTTACTCACTATTATTATAATATCTATTAATAATTCCCCCTCCCTTATAGCTAAGGGGGCCCCCACGCAGCCACCGCGACGATCCGCTTCTGCAGCCCTAAACCCTCTTCTATATGTATATAACCCTAAACCCTAAACCCTAAACCCTAAACCCTCGACTTTGAAACTTTATACTTTTTTATCGCAATTTAAATGCAAAATAATAAGGGTTTATTACATTTAGATGGTTATTTTATTTCTTTTATTTCTTATTATTTTTCTTCTTCCTCGGTAGTCGTCTTCCTTGCTACTATTGAGGTGTACGTACACCGCAAGTAGTCTGCTACTGCTGCTGCAGTACAAGGTGTCGCCTATGGTAAAAATGCATTAAAAATGGCGAATTAATTGATTAATTTAATTTAATTTAAATAAATATATAAAAAAAGAATTAATTTATTGTTTTTTTTCTTTTTTTCCTCTATTCTTCCTGCAGCAGCAGCAGCAGCAAGAATATACAATTATATATCCAGCTACAGCAGCGCTTTCTTGTTAGCGGCGGTGTCGTCGATGGGTATACTTTTTCTTCTTTTTCTTTTTGTGCATGCATAATAATAAATTATTTTATCTTTTATTATTTAATTAAAAGGAAATATTTAATTTATTTCTTCTTTTATTCTTATTTATCTCCTGTCTCATCTTCTTGTTTCCTCTCGATACTTCGAAGGCGCTGCCGTCGCGCCTGTGCATAAAAAGAGGAAAAAACAAAACAAATAAACATTTTTATTTATCCTCTTTTTATTTATTTTATTTATATATATTTATTTAAAATAACTTCTTTAAAAAATAAATAAATCCATGAAAAACAGCAGATCTTCTCTTGTGCCTTGCGGTGTATAGGCAGCTATACATTTTGCGGTGTATAGGCAGCTACAATATCTGAGGTGTATAGGCAGCTCTTTATGGTGTATATAAATAAAAAATAGGTTATAAATACATATTTATATATAGTTTTTCCTCTTTTTCCCTTATAAAATGTATAATTATCCTTATGGGCAATTTCCTCCTCCTTACGAGGCTCGAGGGGAGGCATGGGAAGGAGGGTACTATAATACACCCCAGCAGCCGCCGCTGCCGCCGCAGCACCCGGATATATACTATTACTACTATCCGCAGAATCAGCAGCAGCAGCAGCAGCAAGGAAGAAGAAATAAGCTGCAGGTAGCAGCAGAAGCCCTTGGTTGGTGTTTTTCTTTTCTTCTTTGTGTTGTTTGCTCTGCTGTAGGGGGAAGTCTTTATTGCTGCAGGGCTGTTACTAATACCCTTGATGAATTTATACAAGAAATACAAACAGAGCCTGACGGCAGCAGCAGCGGCGTCGGCAACAGCAGCAGCGGCACAAGCAGCAGCAGCAGCAGCAGCAGCAGTAGCAGCAGCGCCGCAAAGAACGAAGACACCGACGAAGGCAAACAATAATTACCACCTACACTTACAGCAACAGCAACAGCAGCAACAGCAGCAGCAAAGCTCGTGTTTGCTGCACTATTGGCCCAGAGGGAATGATGGCTCTGCATGCATCGAATAGAGCAGCAGCCTCTGCAGCAGCAGCAGCAGCAACAGCAGCAGCTGCAGCAGCAGCTTGAGAATATTGTCAATGATATATGCAGATAACAGCATATGTCTACCTCATATACACTGATGTTGCTGCTGCAGCAACAGCAGCAGCAACAGCAGCAGCAGCAGCAGCAGCAACTGCAGCAGCTGCTGCTGCTGCAGCAGCTAGAGGGAGAGATGTTAGCGCTTAGCGAATATTTGAAGACTGCAGCATACAAACAAATCTCCTTGCCAGCAGCAACAGCAGCAGCAGCAGCTGCTGCTGCTGCTGCATCTACGGTTGCTGCAGCAGCAGCAGCAGCAGCAGCGTTTGTCATTTTTTACGTTATCTTTTTCTGCACAGCAACTCATAGATTTAATTTAATATAATAAAAACAGCCTCTAAACCCTAAACCCTAGACACTAAACCCTAAACCCTAGACACTAAACCCTAAACCCTAAACCCTAGACACTAAACCCTAAACCCTAAACCATAAACGCAAATTATAAACCCTAATAATTTATTAATAATAAACCCTTTTTATAAATCATCTTAGTATTAAACAAACAAACAAAAGGAAAAACCCCAAGACGTCAAACCAGCAGCAGCAGCAGCAGCAGCTGTTGCTGCTGCTGCTGCTGCTGCCTCGACTGTACAAAAGATGCTGGAGCAGCAGTTGCTGCAGCAGCCGCAGCAGCTGCAGCAGCTGCTGCAGCAAGAACGATATACTCGCAGCAACGCAGGAGAATACATACTTACACAAATTAAATTCTGCTGCTCCTGCAGCTGCTGATGTTGCCGCTGCAGGTGCAGCAGCTGCCTGTTGTACTGCTGCTCCTACTTTCCTTGCTGCTGCCTGTGGCACCTTTGTTGCTCGTGCTGCTGCAGTTGTTGCTGCTGCTGCTGCAGTTGTTGCTGCTGCTGCTGCAGTTGTTGCTGCTGCTGCTGCAGTTGCTGCTGCTGCTGCTGCAGTTGCTGCTGCTGCTGCTGCAGTTGCTGCTGCTGCTGCTGCTGCTGCTGCTATAGCAGTATATGGAATGATGTGGCTATACACTCCAATTTTTTAGCAGCAAATTAGGGTTTAGGGTTTAGGAAAGGAACAAAAAAGAGAGATGCAGCAAACTGTATTTGCTCCTGCTGTTGCTGCTGCTTCTTGCGGTTGTGCTGCAGCAGGAGCAGCTCGTGTTGCTGTTGCTGCTGTTGCATGCGTTACGCTGTGTGTTTACGCTGTGGCAGCACAAAAGTCTGTTGCTGCTTCCTGGCATCATGCTGCTGCTGTTTTTGCTGCTGCTTCTGCTGCTGCTGCTGTTCGTGCAGCAGCAGCAGCAGCAGCAGCAATCAGATAATCCCCATCAATATCTGCAGCAGCATCTATCCTTTGTATATGTTGCTGTTGCTGCTGCACTTGCTACTCCTCCTCTTCCTCCTCTTCTTCTTCCTCCTCCTCCTCCTCCACTTCCTCCTCCTCCTCCTCTTCCTCCTGCTGCACTTCCTCCTGCTGCACTTCCTCCTGCTGCACTTGCTGCTGCTGCTGCTGCTGCTGCTGCTGCTGCTGCTGCAGTTTAAGTAGCCTTAGATGCATAGAATGGCCAACTTTTAGTAAAGATAGTAAGATTAGGTAAGAATACAAAAAGAGGAAAAGAGAATTTAATTAATTGTGATGGTTTAGGTAAGAAATATAAATCATTATTATTTATACTTGTGGTGTACATACACCCCAATAATCCTTGAGATTGATTCATATATTCACCAGATAATGTTTCTATACTACTTAATAAAGGAGGGGATATAATATTACTGCTGCAGCAATTGCTGCAATTGCTGCAATTGCTGCTGCTGCTGATTGAGGGAGATAGACCGCCTATAGGGATCCGTAAACCCTCAGGGGAATAACTTGATGGCATTGGCTGACAGTATAAACGCTCACGGTAACCGAAACCCATCTTATTAGGGTTTAGGGTTTACGAGGGTTTATGAGGGTTTTGGAGGGTTTTGGAGGGTTTACGAGGGTTTAGGGTTTACGGGGTTGGAGATAAGAGGAGGGAGCTGAAGATGTCTGCTGATACTAGGCAACACACACAGTAAATGTATCCCTCATGCTGCTGCTGCTGCTGCTGCTGCTCTTTTTTTTTGTTGTTGCTGCTGTTGCTGCTGCTGCTATTGCTGTCGCTGCTAGCGCTGCTGCTGCTATTGCAGCAGCAGCAGCCATGCCGAGCTGCATGCAGCCCCGTATAGAAGAAAGAAAGAAAAGAAGAAGATGTTAAATAAAATTATAAAACACTTTTATTTTTAATTTAAATAGGGATAACAACGCCAAACCCTAAACCCTAAACCCTAAACCCTCTGTAGAGCAGGCACCTCACGTGTCGGCGGAGCATCGTGAGGGTTTAGGGTTTACAGCTAGAGTAGCTAGGGTTTAGGGTTCTAGGGTTTAGGGTGTTGGGTTTATTATATTGACAATGCCCAGTTTGTCCGTCAATCGCGTATAGCCAAAGAAGAAAGAATGTGGGTCGATGAAGAGAAGCAGCAGCAGCAGCAGCAGCACCGCAGCAGCAGCAGCAGCAATAACAGCAAAGTTGTGCTGCCTGGAGAGCCGCTGCATCTAGGGGAGGGTTTCCTCCTAGGGTTAAACACTTATGTAGAAAATGGAGTGGCGAGGTCCTCCGTCTGCGGCGTCGTACAGACCGTAAACCCTAAACCCTAAACCCTAAACACTAAACCCTAGAGAGGTCCTGAACCCTCAACGTGTACTAAAAGACGATCATTTTATCTCCTTCTACAAACCCTAATTTACAAACCCTTGCTGCCTTGCTGTCAAACAGGAATGATAGGCTCCTCGCCATCTAGGGTTTAGGGTTTAGGTTTTAGGGTTTAGGGTTTAGGGTTTGCGTGCAGGTAAATCGTCTAGTGTACGTCCGGGCATTAAAAAGCCGCTATGAGGCGAACGTCGGAGATGTGGTGGTTGGCAGAGTTACAGATATAGCCAATGGCAAGGTAAACCCTAAACCCTAACTAAACCCTAATCCATAAACCGTAAACCCTAATTGTTGAGGGTTTTGCTCTAGGGTTTTGTTGTCCATCTTCTCTGAGATAAATCTGCCTTCGTTATTTTCTATCCATGTTTTGTGGTTTAGGGTTTGTTACTTGAAACTTGTGTTTTAGGGTTTAGGGTTTAGGGTTTAGGGTTTAGGGTTTAGGGTTTAGGGTTTAGGGTTTGTGTATGCAGGTTATTTGTGGGTGAGTGTTCCTTCCCGTACCTCTTCTGGATCGGAAGGAGATGCTGCTGTTGCTGCTGCTGCAGTGCAGCAGCAGCAGCAGCAGCAGCAGGAAGAAAAAGTCCCATTACATTTACGTCATCAATTAGCCATGGCAAGAAATATAATTCTTTGTTTAGCGCGTAGAGGTCTAAAATTAAGTGTTAATAGAATAAATTGTTGCATGCAATTAGCAGCAAAGTTGCTGCTCAAGCCCCAAATGCTGCTGCAGCAGCAGCATGCAGATCTACTTATTAAAAAATTAGCAGAAGCAGATGCTGCACTACTCAACCCTTAACTCTAAACCCTAAACCCTAAACCCTAGCGAAAAAAGAAAAACGGCGTAGTGACGCTGTGGGAGTCTTTACGACATATTAGGGTTTAGGGTTTAGCGTTTAGGGTTTAGCTCGGTTAGGGTTTACGGGTGTTTTCTTTTGACTCTTTTTTATTTATTTTATTTATTTATTTATTTAGGGTTTATATTTTAGGGTTTAGGGTTGCTGTTTATTTAGCATATTGGCTATTTCCTTTCCTTCTTTTTATACTTATTTACTTATTTATTTTATACTTATTTACTTATTTATTTATACTTTTATTTGTTTTCTTTTATACTTTTGCGTTTTCTTCTTCTATTATTACACAACCCCGTGATGAGGGTTTAGGGTTTAGGGTTTAGGGTTTTGCTTATATTTAGACTTATTTTCTCATATTAACCCCCTAAAGAAGAAAAAGAAACACCATTTACTTTTCTTTATTATTAATTAATTTTTTTTCTTTATTTATTTTCTACAGAATCCCAAACCCTAAACCCTAAACCCTAAACCCTTAGGCTGCAGAATAGCCGCTTTTGCATATAAGGCACATTCCTTCCTTTTGCCTTTATCCTTCGTACACCTAAAAGAAGCAAATAATTTATATTTTTATTTTTATTTTATTTTCTTTTATTTAAATAAATTAAAAGAATAAATTATTAATTTGTTTCTTGTTTCTTGCAACATATCGAGCCTTGTAGTCTGTGGCGGTCGGTACCGACACACAGACACAGGGGGCCCCACGGCTAAACCCTAAACCCTAAACCCTAGAGCATAAGCCATAAACCCTAAACCCTAGATTATCATAGTATCTCTAAACACCAATTTAGGCTTAAAGAGGCCTAAAGTTCAATACTTATTACCTAGGGTTCAGCGGAACTCGTATCTAGGGTTTACGGTCCAGGGTTTAGGGTCTAGGGCCTAGCATTCAGCATTAAGGGTTTAGGGCTTAGGGTTTAGGGTTTAGGGCTAAAGAGTGACATGAAGTATCAATGAGAATGAAAGAGAGGCAGAGTATCAAGAGGCTTCTTTGGCCCCGGGCTACAAACCCTAAACCCTTCTCGCTAAACCCTAAACCCTAAACCCTAAACCATAATCCTCGAGCCAGGAGGGAATGCATTCCTTCGAGGGATATGACGACTTCAGCAATGGCTTCTCTACAACAGCAGCAGCAGCGTCTGCTGCTGCTGTTGTTGTTGCTGCTGCTGCTGCTAGGATTAGGAGAAGCATATAGGCTGTGCGCCTTGCAGCATCGTCACCTGCAACCCCCATTTTGCAGCAACAGCAGCAGCATCAGCAGGAGGAGTAGCAGCAGCATAAGCAGCAGCAGCAGGAGGGGGAGAAGGAGGACAATCAGCAGCATAGTCAGCAGCAGCAACAGCAGCAACAGCAACAGGCTGTTAGGCGACTTCCAGCTCCCCGAGCTGGAGCAGCAGGAGGAGCAGCAGGAAGAAGAGGAAGAAGAGGAGGAGGAGCAGCAGCAGGAAGAGGAGGAAGAAGAGGAGGAGGAAGAGTATGAGGAAGAGGGGGAAGAAGAGGAGGAGGACGAGGAAGAGGAAGAGGAAGAGGAAGAGGAGGAAAAGGAAGAGGAGGAGGAAGAGTATGAGGAAGAGGAGGAAGAAGAGGAGGAGGAAGAGGAGGAGGAGGAGGAGGAGCAGCAGGGACGCCGGCAGCAGAAGTCTTTCCGGCAGCAGCTAAGAGAAGCTTTTGCTGCTCCCTCTCTTGTATCTCATCCTCTTCTTCCTCGTAGTTTTATGCAGCGGCAGCAGCAGCAGCAGCAGCAGCAGCAGCGGATGCTGCAGCAGCTGCTACAGAAGCAGCAGGAGGAGGAGCAGCAGGAGCAGCAGAGGAAGCAGCAGCGGCAGCAGCAGCGGCAGCAGCGGCTGCAGCAAGTGTCCCGTAAGCTGCTGCCACAGATGCTGCTGCTAGAGAGGGTCATAGCAGCAGCAAGTCCTACCTCCCTGCTGCGGCTGCTGCAGCAGCAGCACAAGAATCTTAATGCTGATTCTGCTGCTACTGCTGTTATTAAGTTCGCTAAGCTGCTGCAGCAACAGCAGCAGACAACCAACGAATACAGCAGCAGCAGCAGCAACAACAACAGAAGCAGCAGAAGCAGGGGCATGTCCACAGAGAGTTTGTTGCAGCAACCTATGTGAGCATCAGATGATTCAGCTTCCTCCTTCTCTTATCTTGCTGCAGCCCCATGCTGCTGCTGCTGCTGCTACCACTGCTGCTGCTGCTGCTGCTGTTTTTGCAGCTGTCGCTCCTCGCGTGGATCCTGCTGGTGCTGCTGATGTCCTTCCTGCTGCTGTTTCTGCTGCTGGTGCTGCTGCTGCTATTTCCGCTGCTGCTGCTAATGTTATTAGTCCTTCTGCTGCTGCTGCTGTTGCTGCTGCAGGTTTCACCGTTTGCTGCTGCTGTTGCAGCTGCAGCTATCTCTAGGCAGCAACTTGCGGCTATGTAACTTAGCTTGTCTTCCTTGGGCATTCGCTAGGCTGCACATCAGCAGCAGCAGCAAACATGCTGCTATTGCTGCTGATATTCTACGGTAAACCCTAAACCCTAAACCCTGAACCCTACACACGATGAATACACACAGTTGGAAGGAAATCGACTTCGTTTGAGCTTCAGGTTTTAGGGTTTAGGGTTTGGGGCTTCAGGGTTTGGGGTTTAGGGTTTAGGGTTTAGGGTTTGTATATGTTTCCTGTCTTCAGCCACGTCGAGACGCGTCTCCTTCAGCCGCCGCAGCAGCAGCAGCGTCAGGGGCAGCATCATCACGAACAGCAGCAACAGGAGCAGCAGGAGGAGCAGCAGCTGCTGCAGCAGCTACGCTGCAGCGGATTAAGTTTGCTGCTGTATGGTTTCTCTAAGTCACGAGGCTCTGACGATCTTTGGTCTTCTCTTGTTGCTGTTATAAAAAAGAAAATACATCTATTTAATCCTCATGTAAACCCTAAACCCTAATAACCCTAGTAACCCTAAACCCTAATTACCCTAAACCCTAGGAATGGTGCATCACATTGCAGCAGAAAAGCGCGAGAAAATGAGGGTTTATGGTTATAGTGGAGGTCCTATTCCCGCTGCTGCTCTAAACCCTAAACCCTAAACCCTAATCTGATGGTTTTGCAGGAAGTGGCGAGTTTGCTTTATTCCTTCGCACGTGCTAAAGACCCAAGAGCCTTTGCTGCAGCAGCAGCAACACCAGCAGCAGCAGCAGCAACAACAGAAACAGCAGCAGCAGGGGGAACTGAGCCAGAACCAGTTGCAGCAGATGCAGCAGCTGCAGCAGCAACCGCAGCAGCAGCAGCAGCAGATCCAACAGCTGCAGAAGAACCACCAGCGGCAGATACAGCAGGCACTGAATATGCAGCAACAGCAGCAGATGCAGCAGCAGCAGCAGCAGCAGCAAAAGCTGCAGCAGCTGCTGAAGACGTAGAAGGAGATTTGTCAGGATCCCACGAAGCTGATAAAGCAGCAGCAGCAGCAGCAGCAGATTGTAAAGCAACAGCAGATGATGATGATGATGAAGCAGCAGCAGATGCAGCAGCAGCAGCAGCAGCAAGCAACGATAGGGAGTCATTGCTGTCTTTGTTAGCTAAGAAAGCTGTTGCTCTCTCTGATACAATGAAGGGGCGCAGCATCAGCACAGCAGCACTTGCATTAACGGATATAGTCACCAAAGGGAGAAGCAGCAGCAGCAGCAGCAGCAGCGACAGCAGCAGCATCAGCAGCATTACTGCCAGCAAGTCTGCGTTTTTGGTTGGAGCAGCACCGCAGATAATCGCAAAGGCACATACCTTTGGGCCACAGGTACGCGCATGCAGCAGCAGCAACAGCAGTAGCAGCAGCAGCAGCAGCAGCAGGACTGGAGGGAACTAAACGAGCAGCAGCAACGGGAGCACGTTAACCTGCTGCCCCTCATTTTGTTGTTTGCTTTGCTGCTGCTGCTGTTGTGTGTTTGCTGCAGACATTGATTCTGTTGCTGTATTCGTATTCAATAGAATTCCAGCAGCAGCTGCAGCAGCTGCAGCAGCAGCACCAACAGTTGCTGCAGCTGCACAAGAATCCTCAACTGCAGCAGCAGCTATTGAATAATCAGCAGCAGCTACAGCAGCAGCAGCAGCTATTAGCAACAACGATAGATAGTCTTGCTGCTGCGCTGCAGAAGCAGCAGCAGCACCTGCAGCAAGAGGGTTTATGCATAGGGTGTTTAGTATTAAGTCGCGCTAAATGGAGAGATAAACACCAATTATTCAAAACCCTAGAAACACAAGTACTCTAAACCCTAAACCCTAAACCCTAATTGGTTTGAAGAGGGCAGATAGACAATGTTCCTGTGGGGGTTTCTGCGTATTGGTATTGGGCTTTAGGTGTTATTGTCTGAGGGTTTAGGGTTTAGGGTTTAATTGGGGTTCAAGATTTAGGGTTTAGGGTTTAGGGTTTAGGGTTTGGGTGTTGCTGCAGTTATTGAGTCTCCCGAACTTCCGCTCTTTCTCGCTGCAGCAGCTCGTACTCCTCATGTGGAGTGTGGCTAGAGTGCAGCAGCAGCAGCAGCAACAACAGCAGCAGGAACAACAGCAACCGCTGCTGCAGCAGTTGCAGCAACAACAGCAGCAGGAGAAGGAGGAGAAGCAATGCGGGGAGTTGCTGCGGCGGCTCACTAAAGAACTTACCGCAAGGTAGGTGTAAACCCTAAACCCTTATTTAGGGTTTGGGGTTTAGGGTTTAGGGTGTTAGTATTATAATAAAAAATAAAATAAAATTCTTTAATAAATAAATAAAAGACGAATGCCTCTTTGCTGCAGCAGAGTAAACACAAACCCTAAACCCTAAACCCTAGGACGATGCCACTCTGCTGCTGCAGACTAGCGACAAACCCTAAACCCTAAACCCCAAAAATATGCCCTTTTGCTGCTGCAGATTAAAGACAGAAAGGTTGGGGTGTCTAGACATCGCCATGGCTGTTGAGGCAGCAGCAGCAGCAGGCGATTGTGCAAGGGAAGCTTTATACGGTGAGGGTTTAGGGTTTAGGGTTTAGGATTTACGGTTTGGGGTTTAGTAGAAGTTACCGCATCTATGGTTTAGGGTTTAGGGTTTAGGGTTTCCGTTTTGCTCAGCGCTTGGGAGGTTGAACGGTTAATTGCCGTAGTATCAGGCTGTCCCGCTGCACCAAGGGTTTCGGATTTAGGGTTTAGGGTTTAGGGTTTAGGGTTTAGGCTTTATTCACAGGATTGGCGAATCGGGCACAATCGCTGGCAGCAGCAGAAGAATTTACAACAAAAGAACTTCTTTGGGTTGCTGCTGGTTTTGCTGCTGCTGACTTTGCTGCTGCTGCACCCTTTTTTGCTGCTGCAGCGCAGTGTCTTGTAAAGAGGTAAGGCTGCTGTTGCTGCTGCTGCTCGTGCTGCTGTTGCTGTTGCTGTTACTGCTGCTGTTGCTGCTGCTGCAGAAGTTGTTATTGCTGTTGTTATGGATGTTATTGCTGGTCCCCGCCTACGCCACCGCTCTGCTGCTGCTTCATCCCAACTCTTGCTGCTGCTGCTGCTACTGCTGCTGCTGCTGCTGCTGCAGGTGGGAGGGGGCCCCCTCTTTCGCAGCAGCAGCGCCTTTTCTGATTGCTGCCACGAAAGTATCGAGCTGCCAAGACACTGCAACTCAGCTGCTGCTGCAGCATGCTGCTGCTGCTGTAAAAGCCTGGCCAACAACCCCTCAACAAAGCGAGCAGCAGCAGCAAATGCAAGAGCAGCAGCAACAGCAGCAGCAGCAGCAAATGCACCAGCGGAACGGCAGATGCCCTAAGGATCCAGTTTATTCTACTGACGAATTGGGGCTGCATGCGTTTCGGGTGTATCTGCAGCTTGTAATGGCACTTGTACGAACTCTTTGAGGATTTCCGTTTGCTGCTGTTGCTGCTGCTGTTGCTGTTGCTGTTGGTTAATCCCCCTATTCTGCTGCTGATGCTATTCTACTGATGCTGTTGCTACTCCTTTATATATGTTCATTTAGGCTGCTGCTGCTTTGTTGCAGCAGCTCCACCTAATGCTGCTTCTGCTTTGTTGCAGTTGCTGCGGCTGCTGCTTCTGCTGCAGTTGCTGCTGCTTCCTGTTGCACTGTTTGCATGCAGGGGAGAAGTAACAGGCAGGAAAGTGTTAAGACAGAAGATTTCCTTAAAACCCTCGAAGCAAATCTTGAGTACTGCAGCACGGCTGATTGGAACGAGGTACAGCAGCAGCGGCAGCAACAGCAACAGCAGCAGCAGCAGCAGTAGGAACAGGAACAGCAGCGGAATTAGCATTTATTAGGGGGAACAGCAAACTGCAGTCCTGTCAGTATCTTGGATCCAAGCAAGGTTTCTCTTGCTGCTGCAGCTCGTGCTGCTGAAAATTCTGCTGCTGCTCATGTTGCTGCTGCTGTGTGTGTGTGTGCTGCATGCAGCTGCACCAACTAGCGGATCTCTATGGCATTCAGCATCGCCCTGAATGGGCATCAGTAACTGCTGCTGCAGCAGGCCGCATCCACCGCCAGATGTTGCAGCAGCAGCAGCATCTGCCGCAGCAGCAGCAGCAGCAGCAGCAGCAATGGAAGAAGATAAACAGTGCATCAGAGTTCGAGATAGACGAAGATGAATTTCTTGCAAGTTTGCGCATGCAGTTGGTAAGTTGGTGCATGCAGTATATATTAATATAATTGTATTTAATAAATAAAATAAAAATATAATTAGTTAATTAATTATAAATAAATAAATAAATAAATAAAATAAGTAAACACCCTCTTATTTAGTTATTATTTTCTTACGCATTCCTTTTCTCGTCAGGGTCACCCATCGGGGGGCCCCTAGCAACATTACCAAGGGGGCCCCCTACCAACAATATCAAGGGGAGCCTCCTAGTACCACTACCAAGGGGGCCCCCCAAAGCATCGGGAGCCCACGAAGGGGACCAATGGAGGGCCCAATGTAGGGGCCCCACAGCGGAGGGCCCCCAAGGGTACAGTCAAGGATTTAACCGTATAGTACCCCTTAGGGGGGCTCCAACGGGGGCCCCCAGAGGGGCCCCCAAGGAGGCAGCACTCCAAGTGGGGCCTCCAAGGGCGCATTACTGATATAATGAGTGTGAAAGGGCAGACACTGCAACTGCTGCTGCTGCTGCTGCTGCAGCATCTGCTGCTGCTGCTGCAGCATCTGCTGCTGCTGTGCTGCAGGGGATTGGAGCCGAATTTCTTTTTTTTTATTCCTTACCCCACACCTCCCAGGTAATGAGGGCGTGCCTAGCTGTGGCCAGCTATGGCTAGCTGTGGATGGCTGTGGCCCCTTTCTTGCTGCGTGCAGGAAGAGTGGGGCTTTTTTCCTATTTAGTGACAATAATAACTTCGTAAATATGTTTTAATTTGATTTCCTGCAGCCGAAGCAGCAGCAGCAAACTGCTACTGCTGCCGCAGGTAACGCTGTCTTATCCTCTTTTAATATATAATGTTGCGCATAACGAACAAACAAGATAACTTTCTTTCAATTCATTTAGGAGTCAGCAGCAGCTGCATGCCTGCCTGCATGCATGCGTGCATACAGGGGTTATAGTCAATGTTTGTTTCCCTTCTTGCTGCTTCTTTTCCTACAGTGTTCGTTCCTTCTGTATGCATGCATGCATCCATCCATGCAGCTCTTGCTGCAGTGCACCAATGGCCTCCCCTAATGAAGAGCAGCAACAGAACGAAACAAAGGGGTGGTTAAACATCTCTTAACACCCTTGAGGTGTAAGTACACCTCAATGTACTAGCGTGTTTAATGCGTGCACGCGCAGTTGCACAGATACCTTCGTGTCTGGTACTATGTAAGGAGGCCTTTTGTAGCAACTGAGTAAGGAAGTAGCATAAATAGAGGGTATTAACGGCTTTAATTATTATTATTATTATATTTAGTTTAATAAATAAAATAAAAAAGGAATTAAAAGAGACGCATATTACTTAAGCTGGCGAATTACCGCCCTGTAGCTCATCGCTCCTTTGCTTCCTCTGCGGAGCAATCGAGTGCCAATGGCACATAAATAGGCAATTTAATTGAAATAAAAGAAAACCTAAAATAAATCAATTAATGTTAACTAATTTATAGCAACAATTCAATTATAATAGAGCTGCAACGCGGCAAAATATTCTCCCTTCCTCCCCTTGATCATCTACCGACCGGACCAGCGGGCACCGCCGCATACAATAGCTGTGGATAAGAGGGGAAAATCGTTTGCTTTTATTCTCTTTTTGTTGTACCCTGAATAATAATTGTATTAGGTAATGTTATTTATAAATAAGAGCTTAAAGAAAAGGGAAATGGGGAAGAAAACAGCCCCTTGTTACCGCCGTGTTCTTTGAGCTCCTCCGGGCGCATGCAAAGACGATCGATGATTTTTCCTCATTACTTTCTCGCCTTATGACTCTGTTTCTTTTTGTATTTCTTTGTTTATTAAGTAATAACAATAAACAGCAATTTATTAAGTGCTGGTTGATCCTTTTATCTTCCTATTTACCCCCTTTTTGCCCTGTGGTAGCTGTTTGTGCCTTCTCTGTTGTTGCTAGTTAACGGAGAGGCAATGTTCTTCTTCTTCTAATTAAAATCACCGCTTTAGTTCTTTTTAATCCCTTTATTGAGTTAGTATATTAACTTAATTATTATTTTATTCTTCCTTTCTCCCTTGTTTGCCTTCTTTTCTTCTTTTTACCCCTAAAGATGCGCTGTATTGCCCTAGGAGGGCTGGCATTGCTGGGCTGCGGCCTGGTTAGTGTTCCCCTTGCTGCTGCAGCAGCAGCAGAAGAGAGCACCCTAGACACAGGGAAGCAGCAGGACCGTAATACTCTTTCTGCGGAGGCCCTAGACCCCAACAGTAACCCCTCTCCTCCCCCAGAGGGAACAGCAGCAGAAGAGACAGCAACAACTGCAGCAGGAGAGGAGACAGCAACAGCAAATAAAGGAGACACAGGAGAGGAGGAGGATGAGTATGCATATTACAGAAGTCCTGAGAGTACTGCAGCAGCAGCAGCAGCAATTGCAGCAGCAAGAGAGAAATCTGCTGCAGCACATGAAGAAGATAGAGAATTAATAACATCAATAAATAAATTAAATAAAGAAGAAATGAAAGAACTAGAAGAAGAGATACAAAAAGAATTGAGTTCTTTTGCTCAATTTTATCATACTACTACTACTACTAAACCACCGGGAATTGTTAAGGAGGTATAATTTATTTATTATTTAGTTATATATTTATTTCCTTACTTACTTCCTTATTTATTTATTTGTTTGTTTGTTTTAGTTTATGTTTTCTTTATTTGTTTATTTATTTTTATATAAAATATGTGTATGTATATGTATATGTATATGTATATGTATATGTATATGTATATGTATATGTATATGTATATGTATA